TGCTCCAGCTCACTGGAGGCAGAAATTCTAGCACAGCGGGTTTGCTGATGATACAGTGCCAAAATAATTGATGATGTAAAAGGGCAGCATTCCATTGCTGCTGTTCTTGAATTGTGCTAGCAGTAAAATCAGACTGAACAACTTAACTAGCCTTGTGAATGATGTAAAGTTAGCTCTAACCTTGTGTCCTGCATTAGTAATATCCCTCAGTCTCTGGAGGCATTGGTCACATGTTTATGTTGTGGTTGATAGCAGCCTCAGTCTAGACCAGTTTATATAAATTAGTGGCTTTATCTGATTTTGTGGTGGTCAGGAGCATAACTCTTCTTGTGCTATGGTGAAAGTCAGGCTTTGGCCCTGCAGTCAGGACTGGGGCTTTTGGCACAAAGCCAGTGCAGGTCTCTGTTAAACAGCCTTGCTTAGTCCAACAGCAGCAAAACCCTTCCCTCTGACTCCCCTCTGACCTCAGGACAGGCCTCATTAGCAGATTAAATCCAGAGTTAAACGATCCAGAGTTAATCCTCTGGGAGCAGAGGATGCAGTGCCTGCCCCTCCAGCTGAAGGGATTTTCCTAAGGTCAGATAAGGAGTTCTGTGACTCCAGATCGGCAGATAAGGTTTGTTTTGCAAAACCCCATTAATAAATGCTGGGAAAATCTGCACCAAGCGTGAAGTCACAGCCCTTGCCTACTTTGAAGCTCATCAAGGGGAGGAGGGCACGTGGAGTTCCTTCATCATCATAAATCTCTTCTTCCCTGTGTCCAGTGGTGGGATCCTGCCTGCAGTGTCAAGGATGGCTTTCCCATCCCACCTGGATGTCAGGGATGGCTTTCCCATCCCACCTGCCTCCCTGGCTGCTGCCAGCCCAGGGTCACACCGAGGTAAGCACAGGCAGGAAGCCTTGGAGCAGGATTATCCACCTCCCTGGGCACCTGCCCTCACCAATTTTCTGGTCAGTAACTGTGTGAGAGGAGAGGGTGTCTGGTCCAGCAGGAACAGGCAGGCAGGGGAGGATGGTGAGAGATGGAGAGGAGGGAGAAATAAGGGCTGGATTCTTTCCAGGATGGAAAACTGTCAGTCCAAGAATTTATCCAAAATGCAAGTTAAATACTCCTCTGTCCACCACTAAGTTCTGGTGAATGGGTGGCTGTGCAGCATCCTGACAGGCTGGGAAATCATGAACACAGTGCCTCTCCTTATTCCTTCTCATTTTCCTCTGTCCAGACAGGAACTTCTGCGTCTGTTGGAGTAATTCTCAGCTTCCATTTGGGACACACTTATTGCCAATTTAGACTTGCACTTAGAAAGGAAAGAGGAGGCAGACCAGACTCTGAGCCCCACGTCTACATTTGAAAAAGTGTGCTTCCCAATAAAATGGACCATTTCTGAAACCACAGCTCTGTCTGGGGCTCCTCATGAGTGCAGAGCCCTGGAATCCCAGCTGGGGCAGGGTGAAATGAAGTGGTGCCTTTCTTGATGTTCACTGATGTTTACTTTCTTGATGTTTACTCTCTTGATGTTTACTGAATAATATTTCTTTATCCCAAGGGAAGTGAAGAGCCAATATTTGGGTAACTGGAGCTCACAGGGCAGCAGCAAAGAGCCCCAGGCCCACTGTGGCTCAGCAGGGAGCAGAAGGGTTTGTTCATGAGCATTGGATGATCATTGCTAATTGCACATTTTGCAGAAGTAGCTGAATATAGGAGCACAGAGACCTGAGGAGTTTGTAGCAAATCTCAGGAGGCAGTAGGAGAGTAAGGATCCAGAAATCATCAGAAACATCAGAAAACTGCTGTGTTGCCTGTGCAACAAGACTACAAACCAAACTCTTCCTAAAGATGTTCAGCAGCAACAGAAGCCTCAAGTGTGAGACAAATGCAGCAGCTCCAGACTTGTCTCGCTGTAAGATCTGATGTCCTGGGAGGCTGGGGGGAAACCTGTGCCAATTCAGTCTGGCCAGATGTAAGAGAGAAATTTAAAGTCTCATATGATCTCATAGGAGCAGTCAAGCTTGAATTTGGACCAAAAGCACATTGTATTGAGTTCTGAGTTTTATCCATCTGTAAAAAGTAGCAGAAATGACAGCAGGAGCCCTCACTTCCCACTGGGCCATCAGGGACCTCTCACAAAAGAATGGTCTTTTATCTACTGCCTTTCTCTTACACAGGCTGAAGCCTTCACCTGAATGTAGACAGTATCAAAGACACGAAAACTTCTTATGGAAAGAAATCAGTGTTGAAATTAATGTTGTCAGCAGGATAAGCAGCAAATTCTGTCTTCCCCAGATGACCCAGATTTAACGGGGTCACCTTGCAAGACTTGCCTATAGGATATTAAAAGTCTCAATGAAACTGTTGGGGCATAAAAAATAGTATATCCAAGAGTTGCATCACAGACAGATGTTTCTTTGACAGGTCATCCTTTGCTTAACTATTCTTCCATGTATATTTCCTGACATTCAATGCACCAGTGGTAGCTCCTGGGAATAGGAGGCTTTGAGACAGATTGAAGTGAAGAGTGAGGGATCTACTTTTTATTTAGCAATAGCAGAAGCACTGGAGTATCAGATATGTGAGCACAGTTTCCTGCCTTACACTCTCCTTGTCTGACACCTTATTTCTGTTTCTCTCCTCTTCCTGTCCTACCTTCCATCCCTCTTCAGCAAGTCACTTCATTTTTTAGTGTGTACATTGACTAATCCAACCCTGCAAAGAGGGTGAAGTTCACCCGGATGCAAAACTCTGTGGGCATCAAACTTGATGTTTGCAGTTGACTTTTTGTGGTTTTTTATCTCCCCTTTCCACAGAGGTTTTCCCTCCCCCTTTCCATGTGGGTTGTGAAAGGGAGAGCAAAGTGTGCATGTGCTCGCAGCTGAGCAGTATTTTGTAAATACTTCCTGAGAGCTTGTGAAATTTCTCACATGTTCTTGATTTCCCTTCAAGGCTGCAGTGTACACATGAAAAATATTCCTTGGTCTAGCCCTGGGATCAGAAGTGAGTAAATAGCCATCAGTTTTACAGGCTTTGAGGAGATGCCAAGCCCTGATGGCCAAGGGTGATACACTGAGACTTTAGAAGCCAGGCCAGTGCACAAGCTGCAATTTCAGCCATATGCTTTCTTATAGTTTTTAAGTGTGATCACAGCTTTTTCCTTGAAAATTACTTCCCCTGAGATAAGATTTCCCATGAAATGGCTCTGGCATATTTATACACGCTCTGAAGTTTCTGGTTAACCAGATTTGTTAGTGCTCTGGAGAATTTGAGGATATAAATCTTATCAGTCTGGGCGTGTTTGTGTTCACAGATGTGCCAATGACATGGAAATGGGATTAATTGTAAATGTAACTTGTTTAGGAAGTGGTTGAGGATTTGGGTACTTCTGCATTTTAGCCTTGCTGGGGTACACTAAAGAGCTCTTTGACCCTGCAGAGATTAGTTTTAGTACCAGTTATGAGATAAGCTTAGCTAGTCCTTAAAAAATAAGCATATTAAAGCTCCCTGCCAGAGATTTGTTGTGGGGTAAGAATACTGCACACATAATTTTTTTAATGTTTATCTTGCTGTTATTAAGTTAATTGCAGGGATTGAGCTACAGGCAGTGATACAATTCAGACCTTTTTCTTTCTGTTCTTTCAACTTTGGGAAAACTCAAACATTGTTTAATCTTTGAAGTGTAAGTGTGCTTATTTTTAACCATTACAAAAATCAATATACTGGTCAGATTGATAAAGACTCAGTACACAGTAGTGTGAGAAGGAATTGTAATTCTGGATCACACGTGCTTGGAAATAGCACCATAATTTTGCATTTTCAATGTAGCAACCATTTCTTCTCTCTCCTTTGGATCTTGCTCTTAGAGCTCACAGAACAGTCAGCTGATTGCAGTAACGTGCTCCATTCAGTAATTTATTTTTTGCAGAACAACAGTGACTCACCATTTATAACATAAGTGCTGAGAAGACTTAGTTGAAGAGCAAAAACCAGAGATCAATTCATTCATAGATGTCCTAAACAACAGAGGTGAAATTATATTCCTTCCAGTTGTCTTGAAAGAAATAGCAAATAAGGTTGTGTACTCAGAAAAAAATATTGTGATTACATCTGCTTAGCTGCAGATTAATGTTTGAAGGACATCTCAAACTTGATGTTTTTGCCTCACTAAAAAGAATTGTACTGGACAAAGCCCCATGATGAGAGTTAATGAACCTGGTGACTTTTAAAGTTATTTCTATTTCTGACCTCACTGATGGTGTAGAAATGCAGATAGGGTTGGCTGGTTACGTCTCGTTGTAAATCACATCCATGCTCCATTATTTGAATGCTTGTTCTATAAATATTCGGAATTTTCTTTGTGCAAGAAGCAGTGCTTAATTTTTATTGTGTTAAAAGGCAGTGGCAAGTGAAATCCTGCATATAGGAGCAGCAAAATAAATTCATGCTTGGAATTTCTCATTTTAGAAGTCTGTTGTAGGATGAGCACTTGTTTGAAATGCACCTAAGACACCAGCCTGCCATCAGCATTGCAAGTGATTACTAGGCTGAAAAAATACATTTTACTACAGAGCAGATTTTATCTCCATACATAAAACAAGAAGTAGACAACACACCAGATATTCAGGAAGGTCTGTGGTTTTAGGATAAATTTGTCATTCTGTGCATGTGTACAGCAAAAACAGGGAGAGATTTGAAATGACATGATGCAGAAAAATTTCCAAATGTTCTATATACGAGTCACATTAGGCTTCAGATCTGAGTTTTTGTTTTAGCTTGTGCTGCTTGTAAAGAATCTGTAAACAGAGGATCAGCAGTGGAACACAGGTCCCACTTGATACTCCCCATGTAACAGAAAGTCATTGCTTTTCTTAAATGAAGCAAAACAACAGCCCTGGCAGTGAAAACACATCAAAGGTTTCCATCAAACCGTTGAAGTCAGAAGCATGTTTTAATTATTTTAGATATGAAACAGAAGCAGTTGGACTCTAACAAAAATTTCTTGCTACAGATCATCCTGTGGGGTCGGACTGAGAAATGCCTGAAGGAGACCACGGAGGAGATCAGGATGATGGGGACAGAGTGCCACTACTTCATTTGTGACGTGGGGAACCGTGAGGAGGTCTACCAGCAAGCCAAGGCCGTCAGGGAAAAGGTCTGGGAGAAATCTGCTTGGGAGGGTCACCTTGATTTTTTATTTTCTAAGTTATCTGATGTTTACATTCTTGTAACGAACTTCCTTACACACTTTATGCAAATAACTTATTGTTTTGCATTCTTTTAGAGAGGAGGAGAAATTTGATGGACTGTTGGTTTTTGTCCAGTGTCATTGGAGAGGTGGTGCTGTCATCCTCCAATCCACTGTCACTTTTAAAAATCTATAAATGTTGGCTTCAGAAATTAAAAGCTCTCTTTTTACCTTAAAAGAGCAGCATGTAATAATAAAATAACACAATAACATTGTGTCATTTCATGTCCTGTAGTGACAAGAGGAGGCTGAAGGAGCTGGGAGGCTCACTCTGAAGAAAAGGAGACTCAAAAGGAGGAGACTCATTATATATAATATATATATATGTATTGTAGAGGCTCAGGAGGAGGAGACTCATTATATTTATATATATCTATATAATTATTTATTTTTTATATATATGTATTATATATACATATATATTTTTATATATATATATATATATATATATATATATAGTAGAGTATAATCCACAGATTATAAATTCTGCCCCTTAGCATAGTTTACTCTGGAGGTTTCATGGATCACTTCACACATTTCAGTGTTAAAGAACAGCCCCCTCTATGGAAAAGGAGACTCAGGAACAGAAGACTCATATATAATATATAATATATAATATATAATATATAATATATAATATATAATATATAATACATAATACATAATATATAATTTTATTATATATTATATAGGGCAATAGTGGAGGCACCATCCCTGGAAGTGTTCAAAAACCATGTGGATGTGGCAGCTTGGGGACGTGGGTTAGTGCTGAACACAGTGGTGGAGCTGGGTTGATGGCTGAACTTGATCATCTCAAAGGTCTTTTCCAACCGTAACAATTCTGTGATTCAGTATTTGATGAGAAAAAAAATGTTGGGAAAAAAGAAGGGTGACCATGCAGATAGGATTGTACAAAGTCTAGCTAGCTCTATGAGGTGATACAAAGGATTACAAAGCCCCTAGGCAATAATGTCATAAACTGTGAAAATAACGATGTATTTGGGCAATAATGGCTATTCAGCTCTCTGATTTATGGGGAGAGATACCTTTTGTCACAAGCCTTTTTTTTTGCAGGTGGGTGACATCACCATCCTGGTGAACAATGCTGCTGTGGTTCATGGGAAGAGCCTGATGGACAGCGACGACGATGCACTGCTGAAATCCCAGCACATAAACACCCTGGGACAGTTCTGGGTGAGAGAAGCTCTTCTGTGCCATGTACCCAGAGTTGATGTCTCAGTTTGGAAGGACAGGTGCCTGCTAAGGAAGGCAGGAGCCTCCCCTGAAGTGGAGAATGTAAACCCTCCCCACCCCTCTGAATTGCTATAAATTTTAAATTAAGGGGCTCTCAGGCAAAAAAATATGGGAGAAGGAAATAACAGTTCTTTAATAGGGAAGAAAATAAAAGGATAAAATAAACAATGTAGTAAACCCAAACAATACTGACAGAACCCAACCTGACACCCTGTGGGTCAGGGTGTTGGCAGCAGTCCCATTGGAATTGTGGCTCAGCCCTCCTGCAGTGTCAGGGCTGGTTCTGCTGGAGCAGGGATCCTGGAGAAAGGTGCAGTCTCTTCCTCTGAAGATCCAGGGGCAGAGGCAGCTGCTGTTCCTCTGGGGAATCCAGTGGAAATCTATCTAGTTGTGCTGGTGTTCCAGAATCTCCAGATTATATCCAGGTAGGAATGCTTGGCTCCTCCCTCTGGGCTCACATCTCCCAATGGGATGCTGCAGTTCTTATCAGCCATGCAGTGACATTCAGTGGCTGTTATCAGCAGATGTCTCCCCAGAGGGAAGAGTGATTGTGGAAGAGATAAAGAAAAACTGCCCACTTGACAAAAGACAACTGCCATACAGATGGTAATGGCTTGCAGTCTGGAACAGTTGGGGAGGACAGTGACAGATTACAGCCAGTAGGTCTTTCTAAGGGATGCTTGGTAAAACCAGTCTGAGTTGAAAACAAGAGAGAAAAAACAATGTGAGGGGGAAAGGCCAGAGGAAAGAGGTCAAAAATTGCCATAATTTTTTTAGTACTTAGTTTATAATGCTCTTTATTCCCATTCTGTGATTTCCAGTCACACATTTGATGTCTTTGTCAAAGCCTGAGCTCACAGAGGAGTTTCCTCTATGGTGATGAGAAGGGAACATCAGGGTGTGAGACTACAGGGAAGGGAGCTGTGAAACTCAGTCCATTTGGAATCAGACAATAGAAATGAAAAAGAGCTTCTTGTGATTTCATCACTTAGTTGAAAACTTTATCCTGTAAAAGCTCTTAGGCATAGAAGGCACTGTTCATGGCCTTTATTTATGGGTACTGCTTATATATGTGCTAGGAAAGACTTTTGTTGTGTTTCTACACAAACTTTGCTCACTTTGAACCTCAGAAAATGACAAAACAAGGTCCTCTGCCACTTTCCTTTCCTTACATAATGAACAGGAACACTTGGGCTTCTTTTGTCTGTGTCACCTTATTTTTTTCAATCAGTGCTGGTTTTGTTGTATCACTGCTAAGCAAATTTTTTTTTCTTACCTTCTTTTAACTCTCTTATTCTTCAGACCACCAAAGCATTCCTGCCAAGGATGCTGGAGCTCCAGAATGGGCACATTGTTTGCCTGAACTCTGTCCTGGCCTTGTCAGCCATCCCTGGTGCCATTGACTATTGCACCTCCAAAGCCTCATCCTTTGCTTTCATGGAGAGCCTGACCCTGGGGCTGCTGGACTGTCCTGGAGTGAATGCCACCACAGTCCTGCCCTTCCACACCAGCACAGAGATGTTCCAGGGCATGAGAATCAGGTCAGTCCAGGGGAGCTAGAAGAAAGCATCTCATTTTAAATGAATCATCAGAATACACTCCTAATTAATGCTTCATTTAGTTAAGAGAATTTGATGTCTCATTTGGCTGCCTGGGAACAGAGGGTCACTTTAGGCCACCTGGGAGCCATCAGACTGGTTCCCTCAGTGTGCTGGGATATTCCTGCACCACCCTGGCTGCTGCTGAGAGAACTGGAAGCTGCTTTTCCCTGCATTTTCAAGCCACACCAGGGAGGGAGGGCAAGCCATCTCCAATGGTAATGCAAAAGGACTAGTCTACAAATTACTTTAGAATTAACAGTACAAGTTCCTTCTTTATTCACTGGAATACTTAAACATTTCCCAGTGAAAGGAATGACAGCCACTTACAGAAGTGAGAATATCAGTACCTCCTTTTTACCCCTGTCCAAAAGAACAAGTAGTGGCTGTCTAAATTAATCTTTTACAATGGGTAAAATAACCTCTAATACAGATTGTGCTCTCTTAGTCAAGAAAATCTGCAGTGTCAAGCTATTGCAGGAGCTGGGAAAAGCTTTATGTTTGGTGTTAAAAGCAATGGAGGAAAATATTTGTCTTTCACCTGTCAAGGATTTGAATCAAGCAGAGAGGAACAGAGAGTAAAAGGAAAAACACCATCACTGAAAAGGCAGCATTTGGCATTGGTTTGCATTCAAATTAGGAAAAACCCTGAATCAGGGCTCTGATTACTCTCTGCCACTTCTCCCTGAGGGCACCAACATGTACATTCTTAACTGTTTAGCTAACCCAGTAGTACTGGTTGGAACTGGGCTTTCTGCTTTGGGGCTTTTTGGGCTCGAACTGGAATTTTCTGCCTCTTTTAGAGACACAGCCTGTCCTGGGGATGTTTAAAGGCCAGTTACCAGCAATAACTTAGAGTAGCAGGACTTGGACAGTGACACCTTAAAGAAGGAGCTTGGTTCACCTGTAGTTATTTTATTTTCTCTGTTCAGGTTCCCTAGTCTCTTTCCTCCTCTCAAGCCAGAGACAGTGGCCAGGAGGACAGTAGAAGCTGTTCAGATGAACCAAGCCTTCCTGCTCCTCCCATGGACAATGCATGTCCTTGTTATCCTAAAAAGGTGAGTATTTCCTTTGCCCAGCACAGGGAAGGTTGGCTCTGTGTCTGTTCCCTGAGGCAAAGCAAGTCATGGAAGCAAAAGGGAGATACTTTGAAATTCCCTTTGGAGATGTTTTCTCTTTGTATAACCCCTCAGGAAACCAGTTTCATTCCCAACATTTGGATTCCTGGGGTGTAAACTGGATTTTTGTCCAGGGAATTTCATAATAATTAACTTACACAGTTAGTTGATTGGGATTTATTTAAGTCACTTGTTGGACTCCAGGCTTTTTATTGTGCAGGATTTCTGAACCATAAGGCCTGGACATTCCATCTGCATTTAGAGAGCATTGCCTATGTTGCATCAGTGAAACTATTAAATCAATATTTTTGTGTATGATCAGGACTGAAATTTTAAGGTCCCTAAGGAAAAAAATCATAACTTCATATCCTGGAACAACCACAGAGAAAGGACATTCACCTTTGTGTTTCCATGACAGTTTGCATAAAAGCCTTTGGAAAAGCTGCTGCAGTCAGGAACTGAACCAAAGCAATAAGACTTCTGTGGAAAATAATTTCAGTATTGCATTTCAAACAAGAAAAAATAATTCACAGTAAATGCTTTGCTCTGAATGTAGAATTCAGAGTAGAAGTTCCCAGAAATTCTGTCAAGAAGAAAAGGGGCTGTTCCATTTTATTGTAAGAATTAATAGGTTATTTTCATTACAGTAGCTGTCAGGAAATTGGGTCTCTATCCATATCTTAGGATAAGGAGACCACATGCCTTCCACTACCAGGTGGCAGGTTAAGCAGAAAATTCGGGTTAAATCTGTATATATCAGAGTATATAATATATACTATATACTATATACTATATAACATATAACATATATAATATATAATATATAATATATAATATATAATATATTAGATATTAGATATTTAGATATATAGTATATATATAGTATATACTATATATATTTAGATAATATAGTATATATATATATTATATTTAGAAGGAATAAAACAGAATGGTATCTTCCAAGTCACAGCTTTTACAGACTTTTTTGGATAAATATTTCTGTAGAGAAAGAGTGACTGGATGGAACTTTCTCTCTGTAAGCCTCCTCACAGCAGGAAACTGATGCCAGTTTTGTCTGTGTCTCTCACTAGCTGTTTTTTGAACATTTGTGTATTTATATCCATAAATCCATATTTACACATCTCTCATTAGAACAGATTAAGGGATTTGTCTCATCTGCTGATTTTCTTTCTGCTTCCACACCAGCATTCTCCCCCAGGCAGCACTTGAAGAAATCCACAAGTTTTCTGGGAGCTACACCTGCATGAACACTTTTAAAGGACGAACATAGGCTGGCACCAGGACTGCTCTGCAGTGAGCCCAGCACAAGCATGAAAATCCTCCAGGACTGGGAATCAGCAGCTCTTGGCTTTCAGCCTGTTCATGTGACTTGTGCTGCTCTGAGGCAACACATTTCTTGCAGGTCATATCCATAGTAACATGACCTTTGCACAGGATTGAGTGAGTGGACTATGGACCCTTGGAAAGGAAAAAACAGAAAGTGTGAAATGTTTCTATGATGTTTAATTCCTTAGAGTTCAATTGTTAAATCTACTCATAGTTTTAAGATGTGATTTTTGTTTCTCAAGTATCTGGGGGCTGTCTCAGGGGAGAGGCAGCTCATCCCATCCCAAACACACTCTGTGCCCTCTCTCCAGAGGAGCTGCCACTGGTTTCATTTCAGCTTTTTGAATGGGGAACTTGAGAATTACTTGGAAGAACTAAAAGATACGGACGTTTCATGGACGCTTCCTTCTCTTTCTCCACTTCCCATCCCTGATGAAGCTGTTCCCAGCACACACTGGGGAAGGAGCAAACCATGAGGCAATGTTTTCTCTGCTAAAGGCCACCCAGGACTTCTCTTTCTGGGCCCAGAAAAGCTGTTGTGCTTCCCCTCTGGAGGCTGGACAGGAAGGCTCAGGCAGCAGAGCTGAGAGTTTAAATAGTGGGAGATTCTTTGTGTCACTGAATTCATATGTGAAATTGTCGTTCTGATTTTTTTTGTTGTTCATTTCTGATAAAATATAAATATATTTTTAGTGTTAATCCCAGATTGCCACACATGTAGGCAGCAGCACATTGGGGATGAACTAAATCTAGGAACTAAAACTAGAGCCTGCTTGTACAAACATACATTCATTGACACAATCCATGCAGAGGAAAATCCATTATATCAGTCTGCACAGTGAAGTGGAATAATGCTCTAAGAGACAGTGCTGTTGTGCTCATGAGATGTGAATTTTGGGAGCACATTTAGCAAAGAGCTGATTAAATGCATTTTGAATTCATCTGGGAATAAACCCATTGTGCTTTAGGGACATTGAGTCAGGCACTGATCAGCCAAAATGATAAATATGCTTGGGCTGAGGTGCCAGAAGCAGCTAGATATTATTTATTTTTGTAGTGAAATATTCTCTTTGACAGCCTAGGAAGGGCAGCACTGCATTCCCGTGCAAAATGCAGTGAGCAGCACATTGGAGCACTGCTAACAGAGAAATTAATTTAATTGCAATACAGGAAGTAGCAAGTCCAGCTGGAAACACCTGAATGAAGTGCCTCAAGGGTGGATGTGTGATTAAAGGAGTGAATTTAGGGCTCCTGACTCGAATTTCAAGCTTTTCTGGAGATGTCCTGGATGGCTTGGGGCAAAATGCATCATCTGAAGGAGCACCCTGACCTGCAAAGCAGATATTTCTGGTGTTTCCCTACCTCAAAATTGCAAGTCTGACTACCTAAATGTCTGTCAAAAGCTCAGCAAATTCAAATGCAACATTTTATAGAAAGTCAAAGCAGTATTTGTTCATGGACCAGGAGCTTCTATACAGAAATTTGGATGAGGAAAAAACCCATATACTAAAATTTATCATCTAAAAGACTTCTGAGGCACAGCAGAAAAGCTGTGAGCTGTGCTTAAAACACTCCTTTGGTTCTGCCACGTAGAATGGAGACCTGCAACTGAGATGCAAAGGTATGAGGGTTAAAATCAGGTCTGACCTTGCTGCAGACCAGTGGATTTCTCCTTTCTGGAGCTCTCCCAGGGGAAGGTGCTGCCAGAAGTGTTGGGGTCCCTCTGCCTGGGTGAGTGTTTGGAGGGGCTCTCCTGCCTGAGTCAGTGCAGAGCTGTAACCTGGAGCACTGTGACACCTCTGGATATCTGGAATTCCTGGATATCTGGAGAGGATGAAAAGAAACTTCAATATCTGTGATTCTGAGACCCACCCTAATAGATGCTTCAGGCTTTATTTTTTGTCAATTTTTTTGAGAAGCCCATCTCACTGAAAAGTCAAGTGCCATGAGGGGAGAACCCTTCAGGGTTCCCTCCAGGATCTGCCTGGAATTCTGAAGGTACCAGGTTTATCAGGAGAGGTTGATATGGTGATACCCAACTTCCCCTCGTGCTCTCTGATCCTTTCCAGTTTCTCATTAATCCCAGCTGGGTGTGCCAGGCTTGTAGCTGCAAGTGCAATCACCGGTGCTGAAAGAGCAGAGTCCCCTGGAAATTAAACCTTTGTGCTGAGAATTCTGTTCATTGATAACTTCCCATGCAAAAATGAGCTAAAAACACACTGGAATCCACATCCACCCCAAATCCTGTCCCTTCAATAGATCTGCTCTTTCCCTGCAGCGCACAAAAGATGTTGCCTATCTCCAGGGTTGCCTTACACACTGTTGATTTCTTTCTGATGTTTGCTGATGATTTCTTTCTTTCTGATGAATACAAACGAGCCAGGAGGAGCTGAGGCTCATCCTCTCTGCTCTCTCACACACACAGAGCTCCCTGTGCCTTCCCTCGGGGTCCCAGAGCAGACAGCAGGTCAAATAGCAGCCACAGTGGGGGAGAGGCTTGCAGCAAGCAGAAAATGATGAGGAAAACATTAACTTTGCTTTTCAGATAGCAGGGAGGAGTTGGGTAAGAGAGATCCTTCCCTGGTGAGTGTTGCAGACAGGACGGGCTCCATCGAGCTGCAGACGTGCATGGAGACTCTGAAAAGTTTTTTTTTAATAGAAAGGCTCCTCTGGAATGCCTGCTGGGGTCTGCTGGGACCTTCCCACATAAGGGTAGGGTTGGGTAATCTTGAAGTGCTGCAAATGTGGACAAGCTTTGTTGAAGCCTAAGGCCTTCTCCGAGGAATTTCCGCCCTTTGATTTACTTTAATTTTGATTTTCCCCGCTCTCTCTGCTGCCTCCTGCTCTCCACTGCACAATTACTTTTTGCCTTCTGTTTTCCTGTGTCATCACTGCACTTATCTGTGCCACCATCTTGAAGCCAGATGTCATCCTAGAGTCTGGAGTAAATGGAGATTGGGGCATTCATTTATTATCCTGCTGGAGGAATCCAGGTGAAGCTGCAGGAGCAGCTCACAGGAGTTTCATAGGAAATTAGTTTTACTTGCTGCAAACTCTGAAAAAGTAAAAAGAGTCCTCACTATGGCTCTTATCTTGCTGGAGGAATCCAGGTGAAGCTGCAGGAGCACAAGAGTTTCATAGGAAATTAATTTTACTTGCTGCAAACTCTGAAGAAGTAAAAGAGTCCTCACTATGGCTCTTATACAGGAGATTATTGCTAGTTTAAAATTTGAATGATAGAGAAACATAAGCTGGTTTGGGACATGTTCCCTTCACAAAAACAAAAAATAAAAGGGCCAAATTGAGGATTTTTCAGCTCAAGGTGGCTTCAAGAGCTGCTGTTTTATAAGTGATTTTCAGAATTAACAAGGCAGGGCAGGGAGAGGAGGAATTCTTTGTATAGAAATCTGATCCTTCATGTTGAATATTTCTTTTTGTGGTTTTTGATGAGAAAAAAGTGCACCCTCATGCACCCTTGGTGAACTTTAAAAAGGTTGTTCCCGCCATGTCCCTGCCCATGGCAGGTTTTAGCAGCATGACAAAAAGGAGTGTGCCCTGAAAGTGGGAGCTGAACCCTCCCCATTCACCCATTGTTCCACTGAGGTTAAAAAGCAATAGAGTCTGTCCCTCAAGTTCTTCTAGAACTGCACAGAAAGTGCCTGGGCAAGTGATTCTGATGTTTGCAAAGAGAAACTTGTTGTACTTTTATGTAATGTGTTAATTAGTGTGGGTGGGTATGATCAGATCTAGTCTTGCAAGCCTTTCCGACAACTCCCTGAACACTCCCACCTTCAGATATTAACAGATAGCACTTGCCAAAGCTCCTAAAAACCCAGTAACAGACTTAATGCAGGCACAGCAGAAGTGGGTGCATGGATTTCCAAGAGAACACATCTGCTTGTAGCAGACATTAATGTGGCCCAGTGCCTTCCTCGAGCTGAAATGCAACTGCTGGGAAAATGCAAGGTGATCCTTGGGTCATCTCTTCTGTTTTTATTTCTTCACTTGGATTTAATAGATTTAATCTAGGTGACAGCCACTTTTTTGACAGTACTGGTTCTTAAGTTTGGGCTAGAGCAGGATTATGTCAAATGCAGTATTTTGCATTTTTACCAACCACCAGGCCTGGGAATGAGAATATTCTGCACTGTTTGCTGCTCTCACCTCCCCAGCACTCAGATCCTGGCATGTTTGGAGTCTGAGCAAACCTGTCAGTCACCAGCAGCAGTTTCATTCTCTGGGGAACTGAATCCTCTTTGACCTCATGCTTTTCTGAAGGAGATGCTGAGCTGTGAGTAGTGGCAGCCACAGATTCAGAGACTTGGAGAGAGACAGGAGGAGAAACAGAACTTCACCTGCTCCCTGCAGCTCATTCTCCTCTATCCTGTGTTTCCTGGGGCAAGGTGGAAATTCAGATCCTTCTGCCCCTTTATCACCTCTGTTCTCCTGAGGTCACCTCAGCACCTGATTGTGCCCTGGACCATCCAAGGCATTGAGTCCCTCTGCTCCATTCCTGTCATTTTGCTTTCAGCATCACCCCCTCTTTTGTTCCTGCAGCAGATCCTGTGAGCAGAGTCACACACTGACCCAGCCTGCCTGCACTGAAGGCACAAACCTCTGAGACAATTTATATCTTCACATCTTCCCAGAGAGTCCAAACTTAGTTGTTCCTTATAGCTCATCTTTGCTATGGGCATTGTGATGTATTAGCACAGAAAAAAATTAAGTGTGATGATTTTTTATGCATCATATAATGATTTTTTCCTGCCTAACCTCCTTAAATGAGGGAAGAAAGCTCTGTAATTGGAGTTGGAGAGTGACAGAAAAGTGTATAAGAATACAAAATAGAAGGTTTTGTATTCACAATCTTAGGGGGATTGTGATGGCCCTAAACAGAGGCAAGATGGCAAGACAGAGGCAAGATGCCACCTTACATCCCTGAAGTTATATAATAACAGAGGCACAGAAAAAAATTAAGGCAGATGTGTGATGATTTTTTATGCATCATATAATTATTTTTTTCTGCATAAAACCAGAACAATTCCTCCTTAAATGAGGGAAGAAAGCAGTGTTACTGGAGTTGGAGAGTGACTGAAAAGTATATGAGAATACAAAATAGAATATAAGGTGCAATCTTAGGGGGAGTGTGATGGCCCTAAACAGAGGCAAGATGCCACCTGACATCCCTGAAGTTATACAATAACAGAGGCACAGAAAAAAAAATTAAGTGTGATGATTTTTTATGCATCTATAATGATTTTTTTTCTGCATAAAACCAGAACAATTCCTCCTTAAGTGAGGGAACAAAGCTCTGTAACTGGAGAGTGACTGAAAATTATGAGAATATAAAATAGAAGATAAGGTGCAATCTTAGGGGGAGTGTGATGGCCCTTAGCAGACAGAGGCAAGATGCCACCTTACATCCCTGGAGTTATATAATAACAGAGGCGTGTGATTTCCAGCCAAATGCAAAGTCTATAAAAGTTGTCACTCCTGCTCATTCCAGGGGGTCACCATGCCCTAAAAAGCAGTCAATTAATTTTGTAGCTTGCTGGCTTGGAAACTGCAATATGCTGGTAAGTGATAGCTGACTCTTGGTTTTTTTGAGGGAGGGAAAGCAGCCCAAACATGTAAAAGCAAGGGTCACTTTGACTCCCTGCTCACTTTCTCCAGCTGCAAGGGCCATCCATCACGTGTAGGTATTACAAGGACATGATTGTGTCACTAATTGTCCTGACCTGGTGCTACTAGGTAGATGTGGTTCCATTTCCTACTTTTTTCCTTAAGCAAAAGCATTTTTTAAATAGGATTTCTCTTTATCTGAGTTAATTGTCTCTGTATTGTACAGGCTTTTCACAGAGAGGCGTCCCAGGGAAACATGAAATTTCCCTATCTGTGTTAATCAAATTATAATGAAAATACAGAAGTGAGGAGTTCCCATTGGGTGTCTTCCTTCCCCATGAAGCCATGTAGAACTAAGGAGAGGAGCCCTGTTGGAAGATCAATGCCTTAAATGAATCCATCTCAGAAGCCTGCTGAAAATGCTTCTGCCTTCCAAAATTGTCTTCCTGCAGCTCCCTGGGGCATCTGGCACTGAATTTGGTTCCCTGAGCAAGTCACTATCACAGTACACTCATAAAGATTGCACATACAAACTCTGAACAGATCTAAACTTCTGGTCCCACAGGACACTGTTGAAAAATCCAGGTTAAAGAAGGAGGTGATGCCAGGTAAGCAGTACAAACCTGAGCTCTGGGGGAGAGCTCTGCTTGTCCAAAGAGAGCTCAGGGCACAGCTCCCACCTCTTGCCTCACATCTGAGCCCTTGGACCACAATCTGCAAACCCTGGGCATCAGGATTGCATGAACTGACATCTTCCCTGATTTTTTATCATCAGACACTTTGTGGTGTGGCCCCCAGCTGCCCTTGGGCATCCCTGTTGCAGTTACAGCTTCCTTGTGAGGGGAAGAGCAGGGGCAGACCCTGATCTCTCTGCTGACCAGGGACAGAACCCAAGGGAATGGCCTGAATTGTGTCAGGGGAGGTTCAAGTTGGATTTTAGAAAAAGGTTCTTCACCCAGAGAGTGGTTGGGCACTGGAAAAGGTTCCCCAGGGAAGGGGTCACAGCCCCAAGCCTGACAGAGTTCAGGAAGCATCTGGACAACACCCTTGGGCTCATGGTGTGACTGTTGGGGTGTCCTGTGCAGGGCCAGGAGTTGGACTCAGTGATCCTCGTGGGTCCCTTCCAGCTCTGCAGATTCTGGGATCCTGGGATTCTGTGATCCTGTGATCCTGTAATTCTGTCATCCCGTGATTCTGTGATCCCCTGATCCTGTGATCCTGTGATTCTGTAATCCTGTGACTCTGTGATCCTGTGATCCCGTGATCCTGGGATTCTGGGATTCTGTGATTCTGTGATCCTGTGATTCTGTTATTCTGTGTTCTGTGATCCTCTGATCCAGTGATCCTGTGATTCAGTAATCCTGTGACTCTGTGATCCTGTGATCCCATGGTCCAGTGATCCTGTGATCCCGTTATTCTGTGATCCTGTGAGTCTCTGATCAGTGTTCCCAGACACTGGGCTGCCACATGGCAGCATTAACTCCAGCTCTAAGATAAGGAGGCAATTCCTTGCTATCTTTTCCAGGAAAGCCAACTCTTGGTGCCTTTTTTGCAGAGAGGACTGAGGTAAGTGCAGGGGGATCAGCTTTTCTGGGCTGTTTTGGTGACATGAATGCTGCTGTCATGTGGGATAAGAAAAAAGGGCTTATGTCAGAGGGATGTTAGCAGAAGATAGAAATAGCAATGATGGAAAACAAGTGATATCCAAGCACATAATTCCTGTTCCCAGAGCCTGCTGGGAGCCCTGATTCCCTGCAGACATGGCACACAGAATCAGTTCACTCCAGTCTTACACCTCCCTCAACCCTGCCTACTACAAGTAGCAGCAGAGGTGACAAGCTCATGATCTCTGCTCTCTCAACTGCTAAATGGAGCAAAATAGGTGGTAAAAAAATATATAAATCCATCCATCAGAGAGCAAAGCAATTCTTTGGGTCAGGGTCAGCCATAGAGAATGGAGGAGTCTCTCAGGTACCAGGAAAAAAGGAGCTACAGCAGCTCCTGATTCTTGGAGGTCTTGGGCCACATCTCCCCTTGTTAATGTAATAAATGTGGAGGAATATGTTTGACTCAGTTCAGCCATGGGATTAAAAAGAATCCCAGATCAGCGTGGCTCTCCTCTTTCCAGCAGTAAAATGCCTTATGTTCTGTTCTGAACTCCCATCAGAGCTGCAAATTCATGGAGAGCCCTTGTGGAGCCAGGCAATATTTTACTGCTGTTCTAAGACTGTGCAAAAGACAGTGGAGAGAAACACAAGCAAGCACTGTCAATGTGCTTTGGTGGCTGAATAGTCTGTAATTTTCAATATCCTGATGGTTTTGACTATTCAAGCAATCTGAAGCAATCTGACATGTTTCTCAACTGTCTGCTATAGCCAAAAAACCTTCTTCACCCAGATCAACAATTATAATATTTTTGAATCCTAAACCACATTCAGTTTCTCTGTTGTCCTGTTGGTTTAGCTGAGGTTTAACAAGCATGTTAATCAAATTATCAAATGTAGCCTTGAATTTCTCTAGAAGTGATCTGATGCTGAGGCAGAAAAATAAAAACCCCAATGTTGATGTCCTGTAGCAAAAGTTTCTACATATGTTAAAAAGCACATCAATAATTTACAAACAATTCTGTTTAATTGTGCAATAGAATGCTCTGC